TTATTAAGATTAGAAAACATCGGTAGCAAATCATTAAGAAATGTGATTACTATTAAAAGCTTATTAGATGTTTCTGAGAACGAAACGCAAAACGTCAGCATGTCCCAACAGGATTTGAACTACATACCTTCCGCTACTAGTTTGACTAGTACTACGTCTAACTAGTATTGGAAGCTCGCGGCAGTGGGGATATAGTATTTCTCTTTATTCTCTCCCATTAAAAGTGTGACTTGGAATAGGCAAGACTATCAATCGGCAATTTTAAGTGCTGTTGAATTATGATTCACTTAATTTTAAAGTGGACATGTGGAATTAATTAGAATATGTCACTGTGAAGACTATTAAATTTTCGGGGGTGAGCAATGGAAAGAATCAACTGCTGTTCAGTTCAGTGAATCTTCCGTTGCTTCCTGGATATTACATACACCTTAAGAGCATCCAAAGGGGGATGAGATAATTCCTGCAGTTATTAAGAAATATATCTAATCTTTATGTTATAAACAAGGAACGGAATTAAATAAATCTTTCAGCTGAAAATCAAAGCTAAAGGTTGTTTTATATTGCATGCATTAAATCGTTAAAATTAATTGTAATACTCATAGTACTCATAGGACAAGTTGGGTATATGATCATAAAGAGCAAATTTCTGTATTTCACAGCTGGTATAATTGCCTTACGGGAGAAGGAAAGCGTAGTTAAAATTTATGGCATTCTTTCTTATAAAAATGTACTTCATTTGCATTAATTTTCATGCAGAAACAAAAAATAATAAAACTTTTGTGTTGTGAAGATTTTTTTCCCGAAGTACCTGCACGTATCTTGAACTGAAAATACTTTTTAAAAATTTTATCCATTTTGCGGTACGTTTATTTTTTTTTTCAATAAGATAATCGTAAGAGAGGAAAGAAATTATTGAACATCATAAAGCTATAAATAATCCTTAAAATAAATGCCCGACCTGTCTCGAGGGATCTTAAACGCACAAAGAAAAATGTTGAATTCTTTCCATCAAGTAAATTATTTTAGAGCATTAAAGGTCAGATATCCTCACGGTACCCAATTAAATTATGATGAATTACATAGCTAACTGAAAGACAGCAGCCAGTATCAAACAAAACTAGTCTAAGGAAATCTAAGGTCTAAGAATTTGCTTTTATTTGATCAGAAATTATAAAAGAAGTCAAGAAATTATTTTCAAAGTTTTCCAAAAATAAGACGAAATTCCTAGGCTCTTTTGTAAAGCAAGGGTGAAGATTTATAAACCCTGTCTTTTATTCAAGACAAGGGTATAGGGTATAGTTCGCTTTTCAATCTTCCTCGTCCCAAATTCATCTGTTTTGTTTTCATTTAGAGCCTTATTGAGCCTATATAAGCTGTCAAGTTATATAGACTCCATAGTTATTAATTAGTGTCACTCGTCATTTACTAATGTTGGTCGACTGGAAGTCGTCTTTAAATGGTAAATAATGTAAGAAACTCAGACGTTCTCTCTTACGTTATTTCGCAAACAGCCAGCAGGTTATTCGTAGGTTATCTTATAGAGTCATTATGTTATTTTTAAAGCAGGAGACGTGAAAAAAGTGCCCTAGCAGGGACTCGAGCCTGGACCTCTCTATACGCGCCGCGTGTGCTACTGTTACACCATGAAGGCATGCTGGAAGGAGAAAGAAAATACCTTATAAAATACCTAATAACCTAATGATGATGAAATGGTGAATTTTGCAAACTCTTTCACTTCCAAATTTCTCACTTTTTTGTAAGTTCACCTCAATGTGGATAATAGAGCTGAACATTGGTTGTTCGATTAGAGACAAATCTCTGAGAAAAACACCTAAGTGTCTGAAAATTTTCACAGTTTGCCCCATGTGTAATATAAATACGAGTCAAATTTGCTTGAAAAATCCTTTACAACAGTGTCAAATTTCATGCGGGCAGAATGCACGATTGACGGGAAAAAATACGTTTTTATAAAAATGAAAAGTGTATGAAAAGGTGGAATATATCTCAGATCGTACACAAACAGTAATGACAAATTCTAGCTCAAGTTTATTTTCTGTTTGAAATCGAAATTTGAGTATCTGCAAGAAATGTCTCTTCATTGCACTTTGTAGTTCAAACATATTGAGGTCTAAATATTAAAGTTTCAGCATAATATTTACTTCAAATAACACTAATAAGTATAATTAACCTCTAAGTACCTTATATTTGAGTAAAAACAAACAAAATATAGAAACTTTTCAATGCGAAAAATTTTGAAAATAAATATTGACAATCTACTCCAAGTTTTAAAATTCATTTAAATATTCTTTGCAGCACGTAGAAAATATACATATATATATATATATATCAGTAATCATAATCAGTAATCTGCATATCATTAATTATAAATTTCTATATTTCTTACTGCAGCTTTTAGGTACAATACGTGAAGATATTTCGATTCTAATAACGTTTTTCATCGTTCTGTTTATCGTAACATCTTTCTTGTTCTTACGATTTTCATCGTAAGTGTTCATCGGTCAATCGATTTCTTTTCTTAGACATATTAATTTTTAAAAGCGAAAAAAAAAATTGTTCACGCATAAGTGTATCCCCAAACAAAGCAATTATTCTTATTGCAACATTTTGTAACATTTGTAATCAAATCTGTACTCTATATCTCTTGTTGTTGTGATTTATTTTACTTGTCGTATAACAGCATCAAAACAAGTCTACGAAATTGATTGTGGCACAGAGTGTAAGACTGCGCTTGTTGTTGGCAAGGGCCTTGAGCACCATACAGGTGACAGTACGACTTTGCTCATTTCCGCCCCAAAATTTTAATAAGTTCCGAGGGTTTACCAATCCTCTTTTCGTATCACTAACCTCTCTAAAGCACTTTTGGCTAGACGCATATTTAGAGTGTCTCCATGCCGCACAGACACTATACATTTACAAACATCCATGCCTTTTCCGGGGTTCTAAAGGCCCGTCCACACGAGGACGCTCCCGACGTAGTTGACGTAACTTTTTTGACGCCGGCGTAAATTCGCAGGACGCAGAAGACGTAAAACTGAGGACGCTCCTGTTCAGCTTTTTCGCCCGCGACGCGCGCGTATAGCCAATAGCCGACCGAGTTCATATCACGTGTCATAATCAGAAAACCTTCTTGCTTACCCGTTTCAATATGGCGTCAGAGCCACACAGAGATGAGTTTTTGCTTGGAATATAACTGTATACAGCAATAAAATAAACAGCATTGTTCACGCCATCTTCAGATTTCTCAAACCGTACATATTAGTATACATTTAAAATTCTCATTAAAGGGGAAAACTGTATACTTATAAAGCAATGATCCGACTAGTATATCCATATGCTTCACCTATTTATAACACCGTAAGTAATAGGAACCTAAATAAATTACAGTTTCTACGAAATCTGGTTAAAAGTTTCTGCCTTACAAAATTCTCCTTAATTATTATAAATATTGGCTATATCATGTGTAATAAAAAGCTCTATAAATATCCCAATATTAAATACACCAAAAACTAACTTCAGCAATATAATAACTTTAGCAAAATAGCAAATAAAGCAGTTGACTGTGAAAGAGTATTCAATAAAATACAATCACGAAATTTTGGAGGAAAGTTACAACTTGTGTCACACAGCAATCATTTATTGAAGTTTAATTAAATTACCTTTGCAGCGACTTCTACTTATTTTACATTATTTTTCACAAACACTGCTATCACAGATAGCTGAGTGGTCAGCGCGCTGCTTTGGTGGTGGACGATTGGAAAGGTGGCAAGCTCGAACCTCAACCGTAGACGGTATAATTCAGTTATCTTTTCTCATTTTCAAACGTGTTTCTTATATTTAATCATGAATCATTATATTCTTATTTTACCTATTATTATTGTTTTCATTTCTTATTTTATTCATTATTATTATTGTTTTTAATTTAGTTTAAAAACGTGTAGTGCAAATAGAAATCCTCATGTAAAAATATATCTGCATCCCTTTATCATATATCATCTATAAATTCTCTCTTTATTTTTACTTTATTACATATTTTATCATGCACATAATTTCTCATAAACTGTCCAAAGTTTGAACCTCATTCTAAATTCAAAAATAAATAAAAAGAAAAACAAAAGACCAAGGGAGAGCGAGTTAAAAAAATATGAAGTTGGTTTTATTATATGGTGGATGGTGGATATAAAGAGAATTAAGTAATTTAATTCTCTTTATATACTGTATTCCAAACCAATTTTATAAATCCTAATTTTCATACGATATAGAATCTGCAAGTCTGTCAAACTGGTCGATACTCATCCTGAAGGAATTAAAAAACAAGTAATATACTCCCCCCCCAAAAAAATGAAGTCAATTCCTACTTAGGTCCACAAAGAAAAGTTAAAAAATACAAAAATAAATAAATAAATAAATAAAAATACAAACATAATTTTTTAAAATTTTTAATATGTGAAAAAACTGTATTAATATCAAGTGTCATTCACTGCAAGTTTAAAAAATTGTATTTGAACTTGAGCGGATGAATAAAAAGCATTTTATGTACTGAAAATTTGAACGAGATATAGGGAGAGTGTGAGCTAATAGTAGGAATTTAATAATTCCAGATATTCCTTTCGCAAACAAGGCAGTAAAAAAAAAAAATCTCTTTGAACAGGTCGCTCTAAATAAATCTTTCGGACCCATTCTTGCCATTTCTTGCGGTTTTGCCTCTGCTTAATAATTGCACATAATAGTAAAGTTTCAGCTATTAGAAAAATCATCTGATTCGGACAACTTGCCGCAAACATACAGAACAGCGAAGTAATAAGATACAGCTCTGTTGACGCTATATTACAGCGTCACGTGATTTTTGCGCAAAATAATTCAATTGGTTAAACGCACTCTTCGCAAGCGTACTCGTTTGGACGCTTTAACGCTGGTAACATAAAAGCGCGTTCGTCAGCTACGTTTCGAGCGTACTCGTGTGGACGGGCCTTAAGCCGGGCTCTTCGATACGGCAACCAGCATCACTAACCACTAACCCGGTTGAGCCGCTGGATTTTCAAACAGACTTTACTTATGTTCAAAAAATCATGTTAATTCAACTATTACGTATCTTCAAACGGACGATACTCATGCTTGTGTTTGACGGTAAGGAAAATAATGTAAAATTAGACTCCCCATTAAAATTGTTAACATTGAATCATTCAAATCTTAAAACGTTTTCTTTAAATTCTTGTCGTAATAACCAATCGCGAAGTTATGTCAATTAATTTACAGAAAATATAATAGCGGGCCGTGTAAGATTGCTTCAGGGATCATATGTAACCCATAGGCATCCAGTTTGAGATCACTGCTTTACAAGTTCATACTTCATTTAAGTATTAAGTATACTTCATTAAGAAGTTAAATGTGTAAGTTTTCTCTTAAAAATGAAAATTAATATTTTTGAATATAAATTAAAAAATGAAACGAAAAATAAAACATTTAAGCTTATATTTCTTTTTAGCTTTCAAAATAATATTTGAAATGATAAATTATTTTCTTCATTCATTTCTTATTTCAGTCATTCATTTTGTAGTTGCATATCGAAGTAGAGTAATCTGATTTTACACTGTTTTAAAGAAGAAGCATTTTTACTTTGTAAAAAGCAAATACAAGAGCTTTTAAAATAATTCTAAAGATTTTAGACTATCATTACATTATTTGAAATTTAAATTTATACTTTCATTATTTTGCAACTGTATGAGCATAATTTGATTTTACTTATTCATTTATTTAGAAGAATTTATTACGCTTTCTTAACTTAAGCAGCTGCTCTTGCTGCAATGAGAGAAACATTTTACAGAAAATAAATATCTTTAATCAGATTACAACCGAATTATTGACAATAGGCCTTCCGTCTAAGACTATTTTCTTCAGAAATTGTACCTATTTTTTATTTTTAAGTACCCTGATTTAATTTCCTGTGTTTCTATTATAAATGATGGCTTTCGATATCATAATCAGAAAATATTAATATAAAATGAATATATGGAAACAAATAAAAATGAGGAAAAATACATTTTTAAAATTCCAATTTATATGTATCCTCAGGCGGATGTTGATTTTACATAAAAATTCAATTCTGAAACTGTATTTTTTTTAACGTTAAAAACGCTCCGACGATATTTTAGTTTCGCTTCCTGAGGAAGAAGAATTAATACGTGAAATTTCTTATAAAATTAACAATATAAATTTGGTTTTAGGCAATTTTGAATTATTGGAAGCATTAATTTAACTTAAATAATGATATCCTCTTTGAAAATTTGTCATAAAATACAAGTAACTTACCGACTTAAGTTTTTCCTGATATTGTATACTTTTTACTGCTTTTAAGAGAATAGCTAATAGTAAAAAATAGGAGTATGATGTGAAATCTATGTTCTATTTAGTTAATGTTTACGGAAGAACATTTGATATCTACTTTTCTTAGCAAATCTGTAAAAAATGTTTTAAACGAAAATGGTTTGTAATTACAGTACACACGAGGAACATCTTATGCAATCAGCACATAAATCGACAAGAGCAGAGAGAGATTGGTTTTTAATGGTGTTATTAACTCTGTCATTGACCAATCCAGCACTTATAAAATACATGAATAAATTAATGTAATGCAGTAATATTTAATAGAGGGCTTAAATCGCTGATAAAATGATTATAAGATAAAAGTATTAGCCAACGAATTATATTAAACGAAAGTAATAAATGTTTAATGTTTGAATCAACTATGTTCTCTTAGCTGCGTATATTCAAAAGCTATGCAAATTTATTTCCCAAACTTCAGTTTTCCTATAATATAACAACACCTCTTTAGACAACACGAAGCAAAATATACTTCAAACCATTTAATCAATAAATGTCTCATTATTAATCATTAAAGAAACCATTACCAATGTTTCGTGTTTCTGGCTGTCTGTATATGTATAATGAGACAATTGAGACAAGAAAGATACAAATGGTTATCCATTCAATAGCAATTACTTTGACTAAGGTTAACACTAAATTCTCCAAAATAATATCTGAGAGTTCTGTTAACAGTTGGATGCATCAGCGTTCGAGCTGCAAGTATTTCCGCTTTTATGACACTGTACAATTATTTCCTTTCATTATTATTACATTACAGAATACAGGACTAGTTACAGACAATAATGCCAAGGTGTGTTTAGATAGCAAAGTGAATATTCATATTGCATTTGTCAGTCATACATTTCCAGCTACTCTGTGGAAGTCCATACATTTGCAAATAAATCCTCTATTTGCCAATTACGAATTGCATTAGTTGCTGTCTCGTTTAGTATTAAATTAATTTAAGGTATTATTATCATTCTTTTCTTAATCATATTTATGAATTATGTTCGCTGTTTATGTATTTTGCGCTTTGTGTTTTGTGTGTTATTTGCTTATGTGTGTTTATATGTTTTTATGTGTACGTCTTATTGTATTTTTAGTTTTCCTATAAACATATATATATATTAGTTTTCCTATATCTATTTTTAGTTTAACTACCGACCATCTGTAGCACCACAGGTTGCCTCTTCAATCTATAATGCAATCCTACTAACGCCCTAGTAAAGCCATGCACTTCCCTTTTACAACCTTTATAATCTCCTAGTGCAGCCTCGTGGGGCTCCAGGGAGCTTTTGCTGTAGTTAGATGAAGACGTGGAACACATACCTGTTTACCTCTGTTATACACCAGGCGTTCCAGTCCTCCGTAACCTACCTACCTCTTTGAAACTTTGGCAACCATTCTTGCATGAAGTTAATGAACGAGACAACAACAACCAGAGACATTCATTATGTTTATGAGACTGGTGGAAAGATTCAAATTCGATGATCTGGACATCAATGAAGATAGGTTTTCGGAATCTTTCAAAAATTTTCTATGGAGTAATTAGAAAAGTATTATTAAAAACAGGTATGTATCTGTATAATTTTAGTTTAATTCTTCAAACTTAGAAGAAATCATCGATAGGTACTGGATAGAATCCTTTAGCAGATGAAAATATGAGACTAAGTCCTAACTTTAACTTGAAATACAAATTTAAGTTTTTTAATGTTTTCCTGTTATGTAACCTATTTAGAAACTTGAAAGAAAATTAGTAACTGTTGATGGTGACTCATCTGAATATTACCTTTGAGTCTCCGGAATCAAACTGTGACTTATGATTTGCTTCATTAAAGTTTTAAACTACATCCCTTTGAAACGAAACAATAATGAATATTTTGTGCCAAAATATGCAAATTATTTCATTTTACTTTAGAAATTATTAGAAATTATTAGAAAACCATCTAAAAAGCAACTGTTTTATTCCATTAGTTAACATTACTTAGAAATAAAAAATACCTCAGGCGAAATATCAGCATCTAGCCTTAAAGGTAGTGAAAAAAATCCCCATGAACCGCACTAGCAAAGTTATAACAGAAAAGCATCCTATATCGAGTTACGGAAGAAGCTAGCAGGTGCGAAATGTCAATAAGCTTGGACATGGTGACCGAAAAAGAAATTGCTGGGGAAAGTTGGATGGGCAGGACATTAATACGTGGAAAAATAAGGAAAGGCTGACCTCAACAGATCACGGTTGCGATATTTCTAGTTTAGATACGGAATGGCACTTACGGTTAGGTATTAGTATGAGAAGTAGGACAGAGAAGAGATTGATTCCGAAATTATTTTGAGAGTGATCTTTCATTTATTAAGATATATGTTATTGTAACTGAATATCAAGAAACGTTAAACAATGTTTCATTTGGAACATGTATTTTATGATAAACAAGTTCCTAATTATAACGTGTTTTATGAAAGAATCAATTTTGGCTTTGAAAATTGCATAATTAAATAAATACTTTCATATGAGCAATTTTGCAACATCTTTAACAGCTTCTAAAGGAAAATGAAACAGACGTACATGATGTTGAAAATTGATCTACATATTGTTATCACAAAAGTATTACAATTAAATTCTTTCATTTTATATTAAGATAGAAAATGCATTCATTTTACCTATTATTTACGTTAGAAATTGCTACACATATGCCTGGCTTATACATCTTGGCAAATAATGATCACTGTGCAGAGTGCAGACATATTACCGCATTACTTGAAATGAATTTTTTCCTCTTATGCAAAATAATAATTCAGCATTACAACAGCGGTTCTTAACTTATTTTGCCCCCTGCACACTTGTTATGTAAATTCTGATATATTTTTTGTTGTGTATAATTTTTGCGTATTATTTTACTGTGAATTTGTATTGTGCTTATTTTAAAATTAATGTATAATATTTAATATTGTTAAACTTTACGGCAAAGCTCCCTTAAGTTTGGCTGAATATGTGTTACAGTTAAAAGGGTGCGGTTGTATTTCCGTTTCTCACGCGTAGGCTTCTTTGTAGGTTAGAGGTCACTGTCCAGCTGCATTTTCCCCTTATTTTCGCAGGGGTTGAAAACACGTGTTTTTCTCGTTCAGAAGCGAATAGTTCTAAGGGGCAGCGATTTTTTGACAGAGTTATAGGTTGGAAACATTCTTCTGTTGCGTGGGAAAGAAAGGGTCTGTCTTCTTGTAGAAAGTTCTGAATTTCTGAGAATTCCAGTGGCTATTTATTACCTTTCTTTTAATTGGCGAAAGGGAGTCCAAGTTTCCTTAAGATTGGCTAAATTTTTAATATTTTAGTGTTTTTTGAGCCAATAGTAATTTTGAGGCGTTTCTTAGTGAGTGTAAACCGAGGTTTCTTAAGCCGTTGCACGGAAGGCAGGGGGGTTCTTTTTGGACTTGAAAAAAAAAGCGATTTTTAGAGAAGACTTTTAAGAAGGTTTTTGGAGCCTTAGAGGTTTGCTACTTTGACGGCGGCCCCTACGGGGTCGGCCGCGGTCAGTGAGGTGCTGAGATGGTGCGGAGGAAAAACGCGGCGGTTCTTCGATGGTCGACCGCGGTATACAGTTAAGTTTTTATCTCCGAGATTTCTGGGTACGGAGGGTCCGAGACAGTGTGGGTGCTCGACATGTTTGACGGCGGTGATTCTTGCGGCCTATTATTTTCAATTTCGTCGCTGAGATTTCTTTTTCCCATTTGTGGAACAGTCTGAACTGCTCGTTGCGCTGGAGTATCTATTTTGCTTTAGAAAAGATGGAAATATGGAAAGTCGTCATCGCCTGAGGTCTGCTTTGGTCTTTTGTCTCCAGTTTCGACCTCTTTCTCTTATCTTCAGGGGAACTTCGAAAACGGGAAGTTGATTGAGTGAAAGTGCTGCTTAACGGAGGAATTTGAAAACTTTAAACTGGAACTATGAAAAGGCTCCGGTTCCGGAAAACAGCGATGAAGATTTGGCAGTTATTGTTTCGGGATTTGTAATTTAGATCGGGGCAGCTCCCTGAGTCTCTCAAAGGTGGTACGCCGATTTCGTGAGTGACTTTTTTTTAATTTTCATTGGTGTTTTTTATTTTGATGCATAATCCTTTTAAATTTGAAAATGTTTAATACTAAAGCAAGAGTTGACATGTTAAGTAGATAAAAATTGAATATTTTTACCAAATTTCTAGCTGAGAAAGTAATTTTTTATTTAATGTTTAATAGTCAGAAGTCAATTGAACTAATTGGAGGAAGTGAATCTTTGTTTTAATGTTTAAGTGCTATGTTCAATATGATTTATTCTAAATTAGTCTTTTTAAATAAATTTAATCTTCTTGGTTTCCTGCTTAAAATGATTAAGAACTGTGACGTGTTTCACGATGATTTTTGTATTAATGGAATAATGTTAAATATGAGATTGATATGAAAACAAAACTCTGAGTAACTTAAGATTTTGTAGGGGTAGTCTGGCCAGCTATCTTAAGTTATAATGTGTGGGAATTTTCAATAAATGTGTTTATTATCTTTAATATTGTATGTTTTTTTGTGTGTATTAATTGTGGTCTACTGTATGTCACCCATGTGATCCTTACGGAAACATGGTTTTTCAACCGAACCTGGGTAATTATATTGCGGTAGTAGAAAAATAAGTTTTAGTGTTGGTGACTATACGATCGGTTTACTAAATTTAATTTTGATTTTGTTGAGTAGACTTCTTAATTGTGAGATTGTATCTTTCCCCGGTGTTTTGAAGAGTTCTGTTTGGTATTTGAAATGTTAAAGGTTTAAGGCTATCTCTAGATTTTGTACCGAAATTTATGTGTTTTCAGGTTGGAGATCTAAATTAGTTTTCATTTAGTGAGAGATAGCCTGGTAAGGATTTTGTTGTGGAAGTGCATTTTCGAATTTTGTTTTTGTCAATTAATCGTGAATCTACCAAAACACCAGGGAGGATATCTTTCTTTGATGTCTCTTTATTTTAAAGGTTTTGATTATTTAAGTACAAAGTTTAGTAGTTTTTAGTAGTTCTTTTTTTTTTCTTTTTTTTCTTTTTTGTCGAGGCACCAAGCAGTCAGTTTGTAAAGAGATAAAAGTTAAATGAAAAATATTATTTTTTTTTCTACGTAACACACTTTTCACCATTGCTAAAAGATCATCCTTTCCCCACTTTTTCAAATGAAAAACACATATTCTGTTGGAATATATATGTTAACCCAGAATATATATCCATATAGAGTATATATAGTTATCCCAGAATATATATATAGATATATATCCATATACCAGAAAATAACTGAGCCACAACTACGAAACGCGGAATACAAATAATGTGGGGTGAGTTGTGTAAATGATTAAACTTGCAGCACGAAACAGCATTGTGGAGTTATACAATGCGCATATCTGAAGTGAACAGATCGCAGAATGTAAAACAGCAAATGTGGAGACAGATTGGACACAAGGCATTATAAGGAAAGTTGTCTTTAAGCATACTGAATGTCTCTACGAACAGTTCCCAGATTTTGAGAGAGTTGCATGACAGGTCCAAACGAGGCAGGTTTTCGAACAGGCGGATCGTCTCGCACATTGGTGGAAGAGATATGGTCGTTGTCTGTTGTTGGAAACAGTACCTCAGCGAAGGCTTAATCAGGTGGCTTAGTGGCTCGGTGCATCCTAGGGCCACCAGTGTGCGAGACGATGGTACAATTAAAAGTGCTGCTAAGTCCACACCAACAGTTAAGCTATCATTGATTCAACGCTATTTGCACATTCACAGAGATCCTAGTATTCTAAGGATACGATTCGCAGAAGACTAAGTGATGCTGGGCTCAGATCTCGACTTCCATTAAGTCGCTTGTCATTGACATTCCGCAATAAGCAGCGTTGTCTTGCATGGTGCTCTAGCTCAAGCTGGAGAGTGTCCGATCGAAGAAATGAGATCTTCAGCAACGAATCACGCTATTACCTCAGTGCTGATGACCGCCGCATACGTGTCTGGAAATGAAAAAGTAAGCAATCCAATGTCACATTTGTTACTGTGCGGCACACAGCCAAAACGTATGGTGTAACAGTTTGTAAAGCAATCAGGTAAGACAGCCATTCACCATTAGTTGTGCTGCAAGGTACTTTGACTGCTCGCTGTTACGCTGGAGACATTTTGCCGACCATACTGAATATGCTAGCAGGTCGTCCATGTTATGTTTTCCAGCAGGACAACGCTCGCCTACATACAGCACGACTTTCACAACAATATCTTGGACGTGCTAATCTCCTTGACTATCCTGCCGTGCTCTCCAGAGCGGTCACGTATCGATTATGTTTGAAACAGGATGTACATGCAAATTCAGTAGTCCACAAATATGTCCCAACTAGCTGACCAGTTGCTCTATTTGTGGCGTATGCTAACGCAGAGGAACGTCGACAAATTAATAGACTCCCTGCCCAACCGAGTATCGGCTTGTATACGTGCCAGGGGTGGCTTTACTATCTATTGTTTCTCACATTCGTTTTACTGCTACTTGTAAATAAAAGGCTTTTTACGCCCAGTTTTTGATAATGTGCTTCTCTACTCG